AAATCCCCCCTCCCACCTGCTGGGTGCTGCTGTGGCACAGAAGGGAGGTGGCACCCCGTCCACCACCCCCTCTGCCAGCCAGAAAATCCTCTCCTCCCTCTCTTCTCCTCAGTCTGTGATGGAGGAGCCTCCCCGGGGTGGGCAGTGGCCGGGGAGGGCTCAGTGCTGTGTTTCTGCATTCCTGCAGCCCGGATTTGTCTGTGAGATTGTTCTTCCTGCCCCTCTCTGCTCCTGGCAGCTCTGAGATCCTGTTTCATATTCCATGAAGGCTCTTTTGTTGTTGTGGAGCACTTTAGGGTTTTTTTTTTTTCTTTCCCTAAATTAGAGGCTCTGTTTCTGCCTTGGGTTGTGATTTGTGTGGGAATTTTCACCTCCCTTTTTCTGACGGGGTTTCTGTGACAGCAGCTCCTGTGCACAGACTGGGGATGTGCAGCTCTGTTCCTCACACGGGTGGGGTCCAGCCTGGTGTCCCTGGAGCCCTTGGTAGCTCCAAAATTGTCCCTTRCCCTGTCTGGTGTCACCTGGGGCCGGGCAGTGCCCACCCTGAGGGCTCTTGCCCCTTCTTGTAGGATGGTTTGAGTAAAAAGGGACCTCAAAGCCAATCCAGGGACATCAAAACCCATCCAGAGACCTTAAAGCCCATCCAGTGCCACCCCAGCCATGGCAGGGACACCTCCCACTGTCCCAGGCTGCTCCCAGCCCCAATGTCCAGCCTGGCCTTGGGCACTGCCAGGGATCCAGGGGCAGCCACAGCTTCTCTGGGCACCCTGTGCCAGGGCCTGCCCACCCTCCCAGGGAACAATTCCTGCCCAATATCCCATCCATCCCTGCCCTTTGGCACTGGGAAACCATTCCCTGTGTCCTGTCCCTCCCTAAATCACACATTAATGAGGCAAACTCATTAACTGCCCTGTAAAGTGGCCCAGGGAGCTTCTTGCAGCAGCCCTGCCTGCTCCTCCCTGGGCACAGACTGGGGGATGTGAGTGACCCTGGGGACAGATCCAGGAGAGTTCTTGGGGGGCAGATCGTGCCCCAGGCTCTGCAGGGACAGGAGGTGTCCCCTTGTCCCAGCTGGGAGGGGACCTGAGCTCTCAGGAGCCGTGGATGGAGCAGCACCAACCCCTGGAAGCTCAGCCCAGCTCTGGCTCCCTCTGAGCCCTGAGAGAGGAGCAGATTTGACTTTCTCAGTGTTTTTTTTTTCCCCCTGATTATCGAGCTGGCCCTTAGGAAAAGCTGCTTAGACTTGGAGTTAATTGTAATCACCTTAGGGAAGYCTGTGTGCGCTGGGAGCGATCCGCTCACTGCCCGGGGCTGTCCCCGCTGGGATCGCTCTGTCCCCGGCCCCGGGCTGTCCCCCATGACTCCCGGCCGTGTCCCCAGCCCTGTCCCCGTGTCCCGGGTGCTCAGGGCCGGTCAGGGATCCCAGCACTGCTGCGATGATCCCCTGAAGCCTCCCAGCAGGGTCACCCCGGCTCAGATCCCCCCCTGATCCCCTCCTCGGGCTGGTTCTCTGCCAGGGGTGTTTCCCAGGCTGGGCCAGGGCAGGGACGCGTGTGGCACATGTGGGACAGCTCCCGGGGTGTCCTGCCCGCCCGCTGTGCCCGTCCCCTGCTCCTCCTCCTCCTCCTCGCTGTGGGCTGTGGCCGCAGGCTCCCAGTGCCCTGCTCTGGCTGCTGTCACAGGGCGGGGGTGACATCTGAGCCCCCCGTGACTGCCCTGGGGACAGCCCAGCCCTGAGTCACTCCTGTGACTTTCCTCTTCCTTCCCAGCCGCGCTGCTCCCGACAGGGCCCCCACTTCCTTCAGCCCCGTCCGGCAGTGCTGGGCGGGGTTGGGGGTCACTGAGCCCCCCCTCTCAGGATGCCCCGTGCACCATTTGGGGGCCATTGAATTCCCCCAGGATACCCCGTGCACCATTTGGGGGCCACTGAATTCCCCCAGGGTACCCCGTGCACTATTTGGGGGTCATTGAGCCCCCCCATTCTGCTGAGCCCCTGCTGCTGCTGTGCCTTAGGAGGTCACTGA